TCGTAAATTTTTTTATCTTTCCTCTTTACCGTTTGCTTTAATACTTATCCACCCACACGTGCAATAATATTAGCGAGTGCGATAGTTCGAAACCAAATATGGGTGCGTCTATGTCTCTTTTTTACTACTTTCGTACATCATAGTGAGTTTCGATATGATTTAATATGATTATTTATTGATTCCGATATTTTCAAAAAAAAAATGATAAACGATATTTATTCGAACGGAGAACGAAAAACGAAAAACGAAAAAAAAAAGAAAACGAATTTTTTCCCGGAAATCTTTCGAACGTCGATCAATCGATTTCAGCAATTTCCACCTGTTAAAGAAACACTGTCCCGAAAAAGTTAATCAACTCGATTCGAACTGGCACGGCGTATCCTTTGACGATGGCTTGTCCATCAGGAAATTTGAACAGAATCGCCGGCAGGTTGGCCAACAACCAATAAACCGGCCACTGTTCCCATCGTTGCCCGCGAATCGTTCATTCGCCCCCTTTTTCTGGGTCGGGTCGTTTTATGTTCGCGCTCAAGATTGTCTCGATCGTGAATGTTATCGCGTAAATCTTGAAAAAAAAAATAAATAAATAAACAAGACGTGTAAGATTTGTCGGGATAAAAATTTTCAAAATTTATAACGTCGTAAAAAAAGGAGATTTTACAAGTTTTATCAAAAAGTAAACATTTTCGTTACATTTTTTTCTGAAGAAATGGAAATGAAAAATCGAATTCTAAAAACTTTGCTCTCCAAGAAATTAAATAGAAAACGTCTTGAAATTTTTATTTCAACAACATTTTCGAACAATAACGCGAAAGGAGTCGAGTTAATTCGCAATTAATTAATTAATTAACGATTAATTTGAAACGTGGAAAAGAGTGGAATTTTTAATAAAAACAGGCTGATCGTTTTTTTATCGTTTAGTGTCGTTTCCGTTTTTAGATTTTAAGTGGAATTCGAAAGATAGTAGGATTGTAAATATCGTTCGCGCCACGCTATGAACAGTTTCGGTTTAATTAGCGGCCTCCATTGAAATGCACGCGTGGGCGTGGGTACGCGAGTCGCACTCGTGCACTCCTCGGTCTGCGTTGCTTCTCGTGCACAACGGGTGTACAGGAAGTTCATGAATATTGGAACAACACGAACCTTGGAATTTTTCTTCACCCGTGCTGCCCCTTTTCATTCCCTTGATCGCTTTCCTCTCGCACTTCACAACTCTGACTCCCGCTGCTCTTCAGTGTTTTTTATTTATCTTAAATTTTCGTAAAAAAAAAAAAAAGAAAAAAGAAAAAAGAAAAAAAAGAAGAAGAAAAAAACTAGGCAAGAACTTTTTTTTACGACGAAATCCGATCCGTTGGTAAGAAAAATGTTATCGAGTGTACAATGAAAATTTCGTTCTTCTTCTAACATGACCTTCGACCTGCACACGTTTTCTCTCTAAAATGTTCCCCACGTGCATAACGAGTCTCGTAACAATCAAAGACCAGCCATATTCCACCATCGTACCGCTCGAATTCAGGATTTCTCGTTCGTTCAGGGATGCTTCCTAGTTTTTTTTTTCCACGGTTCAAATAACCGAAACGATTCCCCATAAAGGGAGAATTTTTACGATACGAGGGTAGGGGGGAGGAGGAGGAAAGCCATATTTCCCGTGACATTTTTAAAATTAACGCATCGAACGAGGGTGAAAGTTGAGATAAAACATCCCTGAAATATTTTCCCGCTTCTATTCTTTCATCTCTCCGGTTGATCCACTTTTTCCCCCTCCAATTTTATTCCAGTTTCAACCGTCGAAACGAATTACCACGGGATCTCTTCTTGTACAAAAGGGCTTGTTTTCGAAATTCTATTTCATATTTGGCTGAGCCGAAAAAACGTCAAACAAGAAATCTGTTCGCGCCAGTGCCACTTTTCATCGTCGTTCGGAGATCAATGCGAAATCGTTGAATTAGAATCATACTTTGATCATAGTTGGTGTACGATATCGTATTTTTCTTCTTTTTTTTTTTTTTTTTTTTTTTTTTTTATTTGGACCACGAGGAAGAAAATTTAATCAAGTTCGGCGGCAAATTTTTTTTCTTTCTTCTTTTTTATTCTTTTTTCTATTTTCTCGTCCTATCTATAAAAAAGATTTTTTTTTATAGACACAAAGAGAATTTTATTAGAAAAATAATGTTTGTTGGAAAATTTATTTTCCATTCGAAGAATCGAGTAATTTATCTTTAGCTTCGTTAATTTTTGTATACATTTTTAAGGAGAAGGTTTCGAGAATATTGTAAAAACTTTTTCGTTCATAATTGTTCTTTCTTCTTGCGATCACAGATGAGAAAAAAAGAGAAGAAAAATAACGAAGGAAATTATTGATAAATAATTCTTTTTCATCGATGTTTTTATTCTACTCTCTGTTCGTTGTTATAATTGAAACTCGCGATGCACAATTTTCGAAGGGAGGGAAAAATTAATGCAAGTTTTCTTTTAGAGAATTCTTTTGAAAAGATTCTTATTAATTAACCCATACAAATATTTCAGAAGGTTTACTTTAAACAATCAGTCTGTTCAATCTTCGCCAACTTATATTTTAATCGTTAAAGAACGTAAAAAGTAAATTCCTTGTTTTTTCAGTACGATCTCAAGAAGTAAAAATAATTAATTTCATATTTAAGATAATATATATATATATAAGAAAATGAAAATTAAAGTTGGTAAATAAAACGTTATATTTCCCCAACAATTCTAATTAAATATGAATCGTTTAATATCATCGTTGTAAAAAAAAAAAAAAAAACAAAAAAGAAAACCAATTTGCACGTTAAAATTAATTCATAACGCGTCCTTCTCAAGTGAAAACGCGCATCTGTTTCGTTACAACATTTCATTACGTCATGTGAACGTGTTCCGTCAAATTCGCGTGAGGGAGATTTAATTAAAATCGATAATGGTATCTTTTCCATTATGTTTATAAAAAATATATATGGATCGTTGGTAAAAAAGGAAAAAAGTAAAGGAAAAATGGAAAAAAAAGGAAGGCATATAAGCAACAGCTGGATTTTATAAATGATCCTCGTACGACATTCCGAGCTGTGGAAAACTCATTTTTCACGAAGAATCATGAATCTTCGCGTTGAATACGTCGAGGAAGAAGTAAGCTCCTCGCGTTTTGTCGAATCGATAACTGAAACGAGACGAGAAACTTTCACCCCCTCCCTTCCCCTTCCTCTTTCTGTTTTTTAACCAACTGCCGAATGCCATTAGCGTTTTCTTCTTTTTTATATCCGAAAGCTACGCCATTTCTCGCTTTTTATCTTCTTTGGAATAAGTGCTTCACTTCGCTTACTTTTCTCCCCGTTTCGCGTTAATCACTTTCAGAAAGGAAGCAAAATAACATAATGAAAAAGTTAGCCTCGTGTTTCGTTTCACAGATCTGGCGAGCAATACCAATATCATTTTCGTTCGATAAATTCGTTGTTTGTTACTATTTTCAGATCATCGAATCGGTATAAATCTACGTTAAAACACATTTACAATTTACGAACCGATGATTAATTGTCGCCGAATCCGTGTTCTCTTAGTTCTTCGTTGATTCATTGGTTGGAAAAACATCATGTTGTTAATTCTCCTAATATAATAAAACGTTAAGCGAGAATATAAGCGTTTCGTTGGTCAACAACCTCCCTGAAAACTTTGACGTCTCGTGTTGTTGTTAAATGGTAATTTCATTTGCCCTGTTGCGGGATTTATGCACCGGTTTCTTTGCCTCGATGCTAGTTAGTTAATCAAGATCTTGCTCCGTGTTAAATTTATGGATTATTGGCCGATGCTGCGAGGGAGTGAAGCCAGGAGACCAAAGTATTCGATATATCCTGATCAACTCTGATCTGATATTAATCATTGTTCTTCCTCTTCGTTTGCTATCTAAAATAAATTCTATATCAGTTTGACAAACCGAACAAACACTCTTGCGTCCGAAATTCTTCGGATTTTTCTTCCTCGAGTTTTTAACTCGAGTTTGGATCCGTAAATCGTCCATGATTTGCAAACAACTCGCGCTAATCATTTCTTTCTCGAGGATGACGACACGGATCCTCGACCCAGCGAACAATAATTTCGGGTGGAAATTTGGATGGAAAGGAACAAGTTGTGACAGGGCGCTCGTTCCGTGGCTGTAATTGCGCCGACGTAATGCACGTGTTAGGCCGAGTTACGCACAACTGCGTTCGGAACGATGAATAAAACATGCACTTATAAAATGTCGTTACGCTCGATATCACCGAAAGGATACACCGCTTGGAGCGGTGCCATTTGAATAATTAATTCACGGCCGACTGTATGCTTTCCCGTGCCATTTTTCTCCTCTCTCTCTCTCTCTCTCTCTCTCTCTCCCCCCCCCCTTACTTTTTCTTTTTAACGCCACGTCGTCGTTTGTTTCCCCCCCCCCCCTGGAATTGTCACGGGGAAACGTTTGACCCTGAGCAGAGTTAACGATCGAAATGATCGTTCGTTCGAACGGAGCGTAGACGCTCTCTCGTTGGACTCTGTTAATCAGGGATGTGTAGGCGATCGAAAATCGTAGAGTGGGAGGGGGATTTGAATCGCTTTAATTGAGATTTTAACGAGATTTTCGGGTTTATTATCGTATCGAAAAGCTGTTTATCGAGGCTTTGAAATGCTATCAATTATTAATTGGCCATTGAAAGTTTGCCTATTGGAATAATAAATAATAATTCTGATTTCGCCTCGTTGCGCGTTCATTAAAATTTCGTCGTATCCGTCCAATTAATAATCGGCCCTTTATAATTCTATAATTCTATTATACCAGACGATCTCTCTCTAAATGTTTATATACAACTTTTTCGATTCTTGCCACGTTTCATTCAACGGGTTTAATAATATCGAGAGCGGATATTCTCGGGTATTCGAGAACAAAATATTTATGACGTGTGCGACACGGTTGTTGGAAATTATCTCTCTAAATTTCTCTCACAATTTCCTTATCTCTGTTGCAGAACTCTTTAGGAACGCAGCAGAGGCTGGACCTCTGGACATCGTGAAGCTTTGCAAAGGGGACAAACTGTTGAACATTTCGACTAATTTGCCGGCGAACACACCCGATTCTCCCTATGTCCTTCAGGTAACGATTCGGCCATCCTGCGCACGTGTTGTCACCTATTTCCATTTCGTTAGTATTTTCACCGATCATTTCCTCGATTATGTATTTTCGTTTCGCCCTTCTTCTTCTTGCTCTCTTTCAACGTCCACGTCGATGAAATCGTTTCGAATTGAAAAACTTTTATTCGATCGTTACATGCATTAGGATAGAATAAGGAATAAGGACTTATCTTTTCTATTATAATTCCAAGAAACTCGAAGCTCTTTTTTCTTTCTTTCTTTCTTTTCCTTCTAAATTAACGGCTTTAATCCAAGGGAAAGGGATAGAAATTTTTCAGTTTAACGAGGATTGTGCGTTAAGTTCATTTTTAATTTTAAAAGTGGAGGAACGTTTGTCGAAACTTTTCCATGACTCTTATTGAAAAGTTTTTATCTTTTCGAGTGTATTGAGATGCTACGTAATCCGATTACTCTCGATTAATCGATCGAATGATAAAATCTTTCTTAGATTCGGCAAATTATCTCATTCTGCCGAATGATCCTCTCTCCGCGAAATTTCTCTCTTCTCCCTTCGCTGAGCCATTAATTTTAATAATAAACGTTAAATTGAAGGTGAAAAAATAATTACGATGCAAATGGATATTACACCGGTTGCAGTAATTACGTAGGTATAATTAAATTACGTTGAATTATTTTATTTTATTTATTTTTTCTTTTTAAATAATTATACGTTGTACGCGCGTGTAAATTATTTTTCAAGTACGTAGAAACGCGTTTCGCGTTAATTTTGGATCGCGGCAATCTCTCCGTTATTTTTTTTTTTTTTTTTTTTTTAAATTAAAATTGGAAAATGGAACGCAACAACGCAACCCTTTATTATTTAGATTGGAGGGGAAGGGCGTTGAGGTTGAGACGGTTAAAACAACGCGCTCGATTTGCAGTTGATGGAAGTTGTGGAGCGTGGCTGGAAGAAGTGTATTTCCTCTTTTTAAGATCGTCGGAGCTCATCCGGCCTCGTCGGGGGTGATCGAGGCGGAAGTGCTGTGGGCTCTCGAGAGACGCGTGGCGGCCTTGGAACGGCAACTTCGGGAGCATCAAGAAGCTCTTTACGCATCGCCTTCGTTCGCTCTTCGTGAACTGAAGCGGCAGGTCGACAGTTTCAAGAACAAGTTGGAGCACAACGACCAACTCAGTTGGCTGAGTAAGTTTTAACCTCTTGCCTCTCTATACATGTGTATACTCTGCCAACCTGTATTATATTAAATTGCTTATTAAAAATTTTGATTTTTCGAAATTCAACAACAAAGATACGGAAACACGTCGTCGTATCTTTTTTAAAAAAAAAAGGAGCGATCTTCGTGGAATATATTTAAAAAAAAAAAGGAGCTCCTCGCCCTTTGTTATTCTCTTTATATCTCTCGCGCAACTTTTCTTTTTTTTCCTTTTTTCGATCGTTCCAAAATCGATCGATTGAAAAATGGAAATTGAATATCTGGAAACAAAGGTGAATCATTCCTTCTTCCGTGTATAATTTAATCCGGTAGATGGTGGCGCGCAAACACCGTTCGTGCGCAAAATTGCACATCTGGCCAAAGAGGCATGCCACCGGAAAATAAAGGATCAAACCTTTCGAATTTTTCATTTTCCTCTCTCTCTCTCTCTCTCTCTCTTCTTTTGTGTCGAGCAATACAATCTCGAACGAGTTTTCCGGAAACGCGTCTTTCTCTCTCCTATCCGAAAAATGAAACAGGACTCCGTTTTTTTTCGATACCAATCCAATCATTCTCGACGCAAACGTTTCTTCTCCTTTCTTCCTCGATCAATTATTATTATTATTTTTTTTTTTTTTGTTATTTTTCACAACGAATTTTTCCCAACGAAACGCCATTAAGAAAAATTTCCAGCCACTTACGGCGAATCGAAAAATCATTGCAACGTTACCGATCAGCCAGAGACGATGGATATACGCGCGAATAAACAGCGCATCGGTCCAACGCGTCTGCCGCTGAATAAATATTTGCCCGTGCAAGGAACCGTCCCAGCTATTCCTATCTTCGCTTCCTGGCCAAACGCGTATTATCCGTACACACGTATCAACCTTTACCTTACGATCGACAATTATAACAATTTTTTTCCCCCCGCATATGATAAACCATAAATCGTGATGAAAAATACGTTGATACGTTCCGCAAACTTTTCCTCCCCGTAATTTTCTTCTCGTTTCGTGTACTCCAAGTCGTGATCGGAATAGAAAGTTCGAAAGAATTAGCGATGGACGATACGGAAAGGAAAATACACGTTTCGATCCTTGAGAAACGTCGAGGCTTGGAAGGATTTTTTAAAAAGGTTCAATCTTTAGACCGCTGTCACTTTCAGGTTTCTACAAACAGCTTCCAGAGCCTCTCTACGCGGATTCCTGCCGCAGATTGCAGTATCGGCGGAAGAGCGACAGCATGAAGCGGAAGGTGCGAGAAAAGTTCCTCAATATCTGGTGAGTCGATAGAAATTATTACTTCTTTTTTTTTTTTTACGACTTGCGAGTTACGCCCGTCGATTCTTTCTTCCTTCCTTCCCTCTTTCTCTCTCTCTCTTTCTCTCTCTATTCTTTCTCATTTACGAACGGCCATTCGGTCGCCCCTCTTTCTGCTGCCTCCAGCCGCGATTTAATTCGAGATATCGAAGGGGACAGGTGAAGGAACGATAAACTGGTCGATCGATTTTGTCGCCATCCGACGACGACGATGTTTACGACGACGAGTAAGCTCGGATCAAGAGGAAAAGTTATTTTTTCCTGTGTATCATTATTCCTTTTTGCTCTTCCACACTCGAAATGACAGGTGATCCGTATCTCTTTATAATCATTTTAATTAATCAAGTTTCAAGTATATTTGATGATACATTTTTTGAAATATTTATTCTATTTATTATTAACATTAATTAACATTAATTTTTATTTTCTCTTCGAGAAATTACAGGTTCAACTAACGTAATTTATTAACGCAATGAAAGCTTGGAATTGTAAAAGGAGCGAAAAATGTAATTCGCTTAGGCTGAAAAAGATTCGAACGTAGAGACAATTCGAAAAAATTCGTCTCTTAATCCCAAAGAGCATTTAGAGACTCTCTCTCGAAAACTCGGAGAGATCTTTTAATCCTTAATTAGAATTCGCAAGTTCGTTACCCATAAATAACCAAGTTGAAATCTTCTCATAAACAAGAAATCCTATGTGTATATATATATATCATAAGTTCCGTTCATGGAATCTATTTTTGATTCATCGTTACAGTTGACGTCACGCTGATTCACTAAAACGATCACGTTTCATTGAAACTTACCATTTCGAATAAACTAATTTAACGTCTACCGACTACCATTCCAAACGTGAACGGAATAATCAATGTTAAATTAACAGAAATATGATTGTTTTAAGGTTCAAAGTCAGGATAAACGAGGCAACGAGTCTTGTTTCGCGAATAAACACATATTATATACACACACATATATATATATTTTGACCAAATTTCTGACAATTCTCGAGAAGACGTACGATGGATTATTTTGTTTAGGAAGACAATGTTGTCTCGAATTCACGATTAAAACGCGTTCGATTAATTTTCTTAATTTCTTATCCTTCTTTTTTCTGGTGTTTCGTTCTTCCTTAACGATTTATATCCGTCTTAATCGTTCGTCTAATCATATCGTATAAAATATTTCGTTTAGTTTTGATAATATTGGAAAATATTTCAGATGAGAAATAATTAGTTTCAAAAGAGATACAATAATTATTATCTTCTTTGTAAAAGATCGGTCAAATTATTGTTTTTCAATGGAATTATATGATTTTTAATACATTAATAAATGGGATACATCATGTTTGTTATGAAGAAACTTTTAGAAGATACTTTATTATCCTTTAAACGAATATTCTTTAATTTAATATTTTTAAGATTGACATTTTTTTATAAAAAAGAAAATGTAGAATTACATTGTTTGGACATTAGAAAATTTATAATTCCTTGTAAAATAATAAGGTTGATTTTTACGTAGGAAAAAATTAATTACATCAGGATATGTCTTCCTTGCAAACTATTTTCCTCTGAAATATTCTAAAACATTATCAAAAATAATTCGGAAAATATTCTAAATGATAAAAATTAGACATTCCGGTATATCCTTTGCTAATAAATTATGACAATTTAGTATTTTAAATATCGAAAGATCCAAAAAATAAGTATACTTGGAACTAAAAATTGTCAAAAAGAAATTCAATATTGCAAGAAACTGTAACAATAAGTATAAAGGTAAATATATTTAGAATATTAATGAAAAGATCAGAAAAAACGAATAAATTTCGAAAATTCCAGAATTAATCGTCATTTTCAAGAATTCTCGCAAAAAAATGTAACTAAACATTGAAAATGGAAACAAACAAATCAATGTTTGTAAACAAACGAAAATTTTCGAAAATTTTTGTAAATAAGCATTGAGAATCAAAATAAACGGATCAATGTTTGTAAAGAAACAAAAAATGTTTATAAAGAAACAAAAAATTTGATATTATTTTCGAAAGAATTTCGGAATTTACAGAAATTTGATGTTACTTCCCAGAGTTGTCAAAATTTTTCAATCGATTTTGTATCAAAAGAATATAATTCAAGAAGAAATGGGAAAATTTAATTTAAAATTTAATATACTTATCTTTTATACTTATGTTCATACATTTTTTAGACAGCACATTTCCAGAAAAGACATTTTACTTAATATTAATTATATTTATCCGTCTAGTATTTATCATATTACGTAATTAGTTCTTTAAACTCATATTTTTAAAAAGTACAGAAAAAAAAATATATATGAAAAATATATATATAATTTTTAAAAAAGTTAATTTATTATAAAAATCTATATAAATTATATACATAAATAGTAATATTCTTCCCTTTGTTTATTATTTCTTTTTTTTCTATCTTACGTTTAATATTTTATCCGCTTTAATATTTTTACATTATAATTAATGCGATTCTATTTTGAATTATATCCCAATTATTGACGAAATACATTTTGTCGATAAGTTAGAGATCGATTAAAATGTTTCCGCGGTCAGCGCCATCTCGCGTTTGGATCACCGAAGCTTCGACTCGTTACTAGCATAGCAGAATATGCGAGGAGGTATGCGAAGTCGTAGACGAGGAAAGCACTATTGCGCGAGAAGGATAGAGAGCGCCCCCCACCACTACGGATCCAATACATGGAATTAATTAATTAATTACTCATCTTCTACATGAAATTTCTATACTTTTAAGATCGCATCTTGAAGCTAGAACTCCAGACAACTTTCTCGTATCAATTTTAATATAAAATTCCTTGTTATTAATTAATTATTAAACAATTAATGCGTCATAATACGTTACACGTTCTAATACATCGAAGACGCCATATTGAAAATTCATTAATTACGCGCTTTCTACGCAAAATTTCTATACTTTTAAGATTGCATCTTGAAGCTAGAACTCCAGACAACTTTCTCGTATCAATTTTAATATAAAATTTTTTGTCATTAATTAATTATTAACAATTAATGCGTCATAATACGTTATACGTTCTAAGACGCCGTCTACATCGAAGACGCCGTATTGAAAATTCATTAATTACGCGTTTACTACGCAAAATTTCTACACTTTTAAGATCGCATCTTGAAGCTGGAACTTCACACGAATTTCTCTTATCAATTTTAATATAGAATTTTTTCCTGTTAATTAATCATTAACGATTAATCCGTTGTACGTCCTAATAAATCGAATATCGAAAAAATCACTATATTGAAAATTCATTAATTACTCGTTTTGTACACAAAATTTTAGCACTTTTAAGATTGTATCTTAAAGCTAGAACTCCAAACAAGTTTCTCTTATCAATTTTAATATAAATATGTTTTCCGTTAATGAATTATTAACGATTAATAACGATAACGTGTCAATAATTCTAATATATTGAAGACGCGTTTTTAATAAATTATTAATAAATAACTAATAAAATGAAATATCATATTAAAATTGATAGGGGAAACTCGTGTGAGGTTCTAGCATCAAGATGCGATCTTAAAAGTGTAGAAATTTTGCGTAGAAAACGCGTAATTAATGAATTTTCAATATGGCGTCTTCGATGTATTAGAACGTATAACGTATTATGACATATTAATTGTTAATAATTAATTAATGACAAGGAATTTTATATTAAAATTGATACGAGAAAGTTGTCTGAAGTTCTAGCTTCAAGATGCGATCTTAAAAGTATAGAAATTTTGCGTAGAAAACGCGTAATTAATGAATTTTCAATATGGCGTCTTGGATGTATTAGAACGTATAACATATTATGACGCATTAATTGTTAATAATTAATTAATGACAAGGAATTTTATATTAAAATTGATAGGAGAAAGTTATTTGAAGTTCTAGCTTCAAAATGCGATCTTAAAAGTATAGAAATTTTGCGTAGAAAACGCGTAATTAATGAATTTTCAATATGGCGTCTTGAATGTATTAGAACGTATAACGTATTATGACGCATTAATTGTTAATAATTAATTAATGACAGGGAATTTTATATTAAAATTGATACGAGAAAGTTGTCTGGAGTTCTAGCTTCAAGATGCGATCTTAAAAGTATAGGAATTTTGTGTAAAAAACGAGTAATTAATTAATATTCCATGTATTGTTTTCGTAGTGGTGGGGGATGCTTTCTATCCTTCTCGCGCAATAGTGCTTTCCTCGTCTACGACTCCGCATACCTCCTCGTATATTCTGCTATGCTAGTAACGAGTCGAAGCTTCGGTGATCCAAACGCGAGATGGCGTTGACCGCGGAAACTTTTTAATCGATGTCTAACTTATCGACAAAATGTATTTCGTCCACATTGAGATACAATTCGAAAAAGAAATACAATAGATTAATTATAAAATAAAAATTCTTAAAATTGGAATATGTGATAGAATAAAAAGGAATAATAGAGCAAAAAATGAATATTATGTATATGATTTATATGAATTTTTGTAAAAAAATTAATTTTTTTAAATTATATATATATATTTTCTAAATTTGTTTAATCAATTCTCATTAAATTTTCGTTGTCTACTTACATGTTTCGATAAAAGTAAATGAAATAAAATTAAAATCGTTATCTGTATAATTATTTGTAAAAAAGCAGAATATATCATTTATCGCAAAGTAATTAAATTTAATACGAAACGATAAATTTGAAAGATATAGAAATTTAATTATGAAAGATATCAAATAAAGTTGTATATCTGATATTATTTTATATGCTTTAATAATTTTATGAATCAATTATTGAAGATACTGATAAATAAATTTTTCACATTAGTAAAAGTTAATTTATACCATCGAAGAATTTTTAGATGGAGTTTGTATTCTGCAGTAGTATAAGTCAATCAATAGGGAGACATACAAGTATCCAGTTGATATACCTGGTAAA